TTAATAATAATAATAATAATAATAGTTAATACTGTATACACATACCTATGTCATAGTATTAAATAATATTTTTATTTCTTTTTTTCAGATTTTTCAGATGATTTTTATGGTTTAAGAAATAGCCAAGATGATATTCCTGATTCACCAGATATTTTTAACTCTTCAACTAGTTTAAAAGATTCATCTACTACTAATGGTAAACAATGCTAGATTATTTGCCTAATATATACTCTATAGTCTATACAATATATTATATTTATATTTTTTATTAGGAACAATGCAAAAGTCAACTGTTGTACATACAACTGCATCACCATTTAAAGTCACTCCGATAGATTCTAACCAATTTGAAATCATTGAAGTAAATCAACCTATGAGTAAAAGTTCCAGGATGCTTGATTCAGCTAAGAAAAACACAAAATGTACTTACATTCCAAACAAAGTTTCAAAATTAATTAGTTTCTAAAATGTTTTTAAAACTTATTCAAATTAGTACATTATTCTATTATAAATTAATTAGTCATCTTATATTTTACTAAAAATATATTCAATCATTTTACTCTATAATTTTATTTTAACCATTTAAATATGAATATAAATATATTTATTATGTATGAATATTATTTTACTGTTTATATAATACCTAACTGATATTTCTACAGGGACATCTTCATTGCATGGTATAATAGATAAAAACAAACCAACTTTTAATGCTACTCAACGTGAATCAATTTCTGATGGTAATTATTATATTAATCTCTTTTATTTTTATACATTTCTTGAAAAACCATTACATTGTTTATCTTTGTTGACACAGAAACATTGAAAAAAATATTGAGCGTAGTTATGAAAATTAAATATGATGTTGAGAACATAGGACATAATCAAACACGAATAGACAACATTTTAACTGAAACTATCATAAATATGGGTAGCATTTCCAGTAATAGTCATGAAAATTCAAACATTAATGATGATAATGATTATTGTTTGTTACTACCACTACATAACGAGGATGAACTAAATAATTTTGAAGAAAAATTATTAAACAAGACTTTCAGATTAAATGTTGTAAGTACTATTTAAAAATAGTTTTTGAAAGGATAAGTTTGATCATAACGCTTTAAATATTTCTTATTTAAAATGTTGTATGATTTCCCTTTAATTTGTTTTCAAATAAAAAATAATAATAATAAATCAGCTATATTAATTTTATCTTCTAGGTTAATGGTCTCAAACGATTAGCAAAAAAATCATTAACATCAACAATAAGACAAATGTTAAGAACAGTTTTCGACGATGAATTTTTGCAAATATTTAGTTATGTTGGTCAGAAGAAAAAAAGGATATTTTCTTCATTAGCTTCATGTGCTATTATATTTGGTAATAATATTTAAAAAAAAATAAGAAATTATTATGTGAGGTTATTTATTATATATTTCTAAATGTGGACAAGCATAATAAAAATAATTAATAATAGGAAACAAGATCAATGAGTTAGAAGTTAACAGTTAATAGATCTTAAATTTAACTTAATAAGGTTTGCATACCTTGAAAAGGTGGTTTTTTTGCACACCAATGGTTAAACAACTCCTTTTTTTACACTAATACTTCTAATTACTTCTAATCTTTCTTTGCATTTCTGTTATATAACACAGAAGTGCAAAGAAGGATTATAAGTAAATAGAAGTATTATTGGTGTACAAAAAAAGAATATATAACTAACACATACTTCTAAGTAGGTCCACAATATATGTATACAACTACTTCGTTAGTGGGTTACCCCCTGTTAAATTATATCTACTTCTCTGATAGCATAATATGATGTTTAAGTTAGTTTATTAAAATAATAATCTGTATTGAATTTTTTTAGATGCAATAAGAAAAATCAGGAATTTTCAAGACATGTCTAATTAGGACATAGAAGCACCTATAAAAATATATTTAGCCGGAGCAGCTTTCAGAAAAAAAAAATAATGCATTTATATACATACCTGTTTTATTTTTTTTATATTAATTTTTAATCTAACAAAGGCAATAATAAATTATGTTAAAAAAATCAATATATTAAAAGGTAATAAGAAATACCTACCTAAAATAAAAGGAATTATTAGTTAAAAAATTTGAAATTTTGTTGAATTTATTTATTCTAAATTATTGAATAATTAACAAAAATACATGGAAAACTGATATTTATACTAATCAACAAGTTTATGTATATAATATAATTATATTTAGGTTATATTATCTACTATATTTTCTAATCAATACTATTAATATAGTTTATTGGCACCCCTAACAAATAACAATAAACAATTATAAACTAAATATTTCTATTCAAAGTTCCTTTTAAGGCAATCAGTTAATGTAAAATTAGTTTAATGTAAAGTTTTTAATTTAATTAGTTAAATGTAAAATTAAATTACCGAAATGTATTATATGCTAATTCAAATATGAAGAAAATATTACGAGCGGAGATTTTATTATGGCGATTATTATAAAATATTTGATATAATAGGATCTATGTGTATATTATTAATATAATAATGTTTAAAAAACATCTTAATATGATTTTTTTATATTATTATAAAAACATTATATTTGAAGTTCAAAAATATTATTATTTTTATATTATTACTAGCTGACCCGGCAAACGTTGTTTTGCCATATAAATAATTTCCTAGTAATTTCTAGTGTAGACAAAAAATAGCTTACTTATTGTAAGTATGTATGTATGATAGAATGTGTATATTGTATGTATGTAAGAATGTGGTATATGCGTGAAATAAGCATGGAGCGCTGTGAACGATGAGGGAATATAAAAATAACAAAAGGCAAACATTATTTTTAAGTTATATTATAATTTATTCCTTTAAATTATATATCATTAATTAAACAATTACGACAGTAACACTATTAAACAATATCAATCTCTTAATGCTATAGCGTGAACAATATTTTTTGTNAAACAAACTGGATGGTTTACCCACTCGAGAGCATGCCACGTATAATTGTCCGTGTGAAAAACATGGTGTTCTCAAATCTAATCCACAAACAGACATCGTTTGACCTTGGGACTTGTTGATAGTCATTGCAAATGCCAATCTAATCGGAAACTGAATACGTTTGAATTGAATTGGCACATCTGTAGGTATAATAGGAATCCGTGGTATGAGTATATTTTCACCTCTGAACTTGCCATTTAAAATCCTGGCTTCGATCACGTTTTTCATTAATTTTTGAATGACTAATCGCGTACCGTTGCACAGCCGGGGCGGGTTCAAATTACGAAGCAAGATAATTGGAGATCCAACCTTTAATTGTAAATTATGCGGTGGCATGCCTGGCAAATCCAGTGAGTTCAAAAACTCTGTGGGAAAATTTACTGCTTCGCGGTCGTCGCAAACTGTATCAATAGATTTATATGATACCAAGTTCCCTGGCAACAACATTTGTATCTTCAGATTTAAATTGTCAACGTCTACATTTTTTGCCGCTAAAATCGCTCTTTCTGCAAGCCACTCATGATTTATGTACTGTGTGTGTACATCGGGAAATATTTGTTCAATGAGAGTATCTTGAGAATCAGCGATTGTGCAGAAATCGGTCGGTAATTTTACATATCCAGTTTCATCTATAGCAACTTTTCCATCACCGATATCTAAGAGTTGTTTTGAAAATGTTTCAGCGGATGGATCTTGAAGCATTTGAACGCGCATATTTATTTTTAGCTGTAATTTTTCAACATTACGCCACAATGGAGATGATTTTAAGCAAGCGTTGATCTCATCAGCGTATGTTGAACGTGGAATGACTGGAAGTGTTTGTCTGAAATCACCTGAAAGGACCAACAGAGTTCCGCCAAATAGTTTGTCACTGTTTTTAATATCTTTCAATGACCTGTTCAACGCCTCAAGTGAATGTTTGTGTGCCATAGTACATTCATCCCAAATAATAATTTTACACCGTTTCAGCACAGTGGCCATGGACGATTGTTTCTTAATGTTGCATACTGCGTCAGGGTTATTCTGAATATTTAGTGGCAGCTTAAATACTGAATGAGCTGTTCTACCTCCATCCAATAAAAATGCTGCAATGCCCGATGATGCAACGGCCAATGCGATGCCATTATTTGATCGTATTTCAGCAAGAATTAGCGAAATAACGAATGTTTTGCCAGTTCCACCCGGTGCATCAAAAAAGAAGAACCCACCTTGTCCAGCTGAAACTGCGAGCATAATGCGATCATAAATGGTTCTTTGTTCCTCATTCATTAGTGGGACATTGCGGGCAACAATCGCTGCCATTTCTACAGTACTGTACTGCAGTTCACGATTCATATCAGTATTCATTAAATCAGATGCAGTTCGATTTGGCGAATTCATACCGAAATTACTAAGTGGTAAGTTGGCAATGACAATGCAAAGATCCTCAATAGCAATCAATGCTTCATTGTACATTTCGTCGCTGAATGTTATGGTTAGATCGTGGCACCGTATACGATGTTGATGCAATATATCATCAGTCATTGAATCTTTGTGATTTTCCCATAATATCTGTGCTCGGGCTGGGAAACATGTAGTCAACACTATAGCGAATAGTAGACGAATTTGTATTGCTGTACAGTTCAATGCAGCTTCAGCAAGCATGCATTCCCACTGGTTGTCGTCTTCCAGCAAGCCGAGTGCAAGGCATGCATCTTTATACGTTGGATATTGTAGCCCATTCACTTTACGTATATCTTGAAATGATAATGGGCCAGTAACATTAACCAACAACAGTCGAAGATAAAAGCACTCCGTGTGTCTTGGATTGACTGTAAATAATCGCCCCAAGGCGTTTGATTTAAATAAATTGAGACATGCAGCAACTGGTGAGCCTTGCTTGCGGGGCATCCATGTTTTTGTTTGAGTCCATGTGAAATAGCGTGGTACTTGTGAATAGAGTAATGTTCGTGCAAAGGCACCAAAATCATCCGCACGATTACACAATTCAAAAAATGCAGTGAGTGTAGTTTTGGGTGGATTTATTGCACGATCAATCGCTGTCTCGTTCGTGAAAAATACACGCTGACCGTTTTCAAGATGGATGGCTAACTGAACAACTGCTGGATCCCGTTCATGAATTGGAAAACAAAAGATACGCCAAGCAGCTTCATTGGAGCTGATGTACCGACCAATTTGGTAGAGCGTTATTTCATCGTTTTTATTCACTGGAGGAGCATTCACATTAATATTTTCCACTCTAAACACAGCCATATCACTGCCTTTATGGACATACTTGCAAATGTATTTGATGCTCTTCACAGAACTGCAGAACTCAACATTAATATGAGCATTATATGTCTTGCTCAGCAGAGGCGAATACAAATACACACCCATGATATTCCCACTACCAATGCTCGAAAATTCATTTACGCTGACGATATTTGCTTAGTCACAACATACTTGCAAATGTATTTGATGCTCTTCACAGAACTGCAGAACTCAACATTAATATGAGCATTATATGTCTTGCTCAGCAGAGGCGAATATGGCACCACCCAACGATTGTCAATATCAATGTCTGTGTTGATGATATTTTTAATAAATGACTGTCCGCCATTTTCAGGATTTCTTCGACGATATATTGGGTATCCGTCGACATTTGTGACCGTATCATTGGTAAAATCTTTAGGGAAATTTTTAGTACATTTTCCATCAGCCATGCAAGGCGATGAACTATTAAGAGTACCACATGGACCATGAATCATGTTTGTTGTAACAATATCAAACAGCAGTTGGTCAGTGGATGGATCTGGAATTTCCGCAGAAATGATACTATCGATTTCTTCAGGACGGATTTTGTCGATGAACCAAACCAAAATGTGTGCATGAGGTAATCCTCGCTTTTGCCACTCAACCGAATACATCCAGCAACGTGTGGGACCAAATACAAATAACTAATATATAACATATAACTAATTAAATGACGATACATCAGTTTTCGACCGGAGAGGAAAAATGATTAAATTACTAAAATGGCTATTAAAAAATAAGGGTTGATCGTAGAAGGGTGAAAATTGAGGATTGTATGTATTTTTGTATGTTGTATCATAAAAAAATAGAAATTAAAAATTTTGTCTAAAAAATAAAAAAAAAAATTTAGGGGTGGACAACCCCTAACATTTAGGGGGATGAAAAATAGATGTTGGCCGATTCTCATAGATACCGGATAAGCACAAAAAATTTCATCAAAATCGGTCAAGCCGTTTCGGAGGAGTATGGCAACGAAAACTGTGACACGAGAATTTTATATATTAGATAAAAATGATATATTTGAAATGTTATTATAATAATTTTAAACTTGCCAAATAATAATACTATATTAATACAATTATATTATTGTAATGTATTTATATTCAATTAATAGTTATTGTGTAATATTACTTATTACGTTTGTAACTTTATTATAATGTTATAATATTGTTATTTTGCTACCTGGGTATATACATACATTTTCTCGTGACCGACGATAGGCGATAGCGATACAAATATACAATATGCAATGAACCATGGACTAAAATATATATATTATTACTACCTATATATGTATAATGCATATTATATCTTAGAACTATGAACACGATAAGATTAGTAGATACCATAGATACTTACTTTTTGCCTATGTAGTGTATGACTATTTAAATGATTATGTACATGGATAATAATTAATTGTGTTGTAGAATATTATTATTAAGTTATTAAATATATGGTATATATTAATTAGTTAATACATATATACTTATTATTGTGTATACATACAATTTTTAAAAAACCTGTGACTAATTTAATTTTGAGTATCGGGTATCTTAATACTTAAAATTTAAGTACGGAGTATCTAGTATTATGATACTAGGCCGGATCCGCGTTCAGTTGGGGGCCGATTGCCAGTGGTGGTGACGTCATTTGGCCATAGTCATTTATATATATTCGACCGCAAGATCACACCACTATATTATACTTAGGTTTGCCACCTTTGAAAGAAAGCAGCCCCGGAGACAGGCCGATAAGCAAAAAAAAAGGTCATCAGCTAGACGCTAGTATACACACCTACACGTAGTATAATCTATAATCCATAGCTTAGTTGAAGTGAAATGATAAATAATGAAATGCAAACAAAAAAATATTTATATAATCAGTAATCACATATTTTATCATTCAAAATTACAAATTATATTATAAAAAATAATTAAAAATCCCAAACAAGAAAAATTATTTAAATTTAAAATTATACTTAACATTATTTGTTGCACATTTCAATAATTTTTACCGGAAACTAATAAAAAAAAAAGGCATAATAATAAAAACAAGTCTATTTAAGACTATAAATCGTAGGTTATTTTATCTTTATCTCCGACCCGGAGAAAAATTCTCTGAACCCGGAGCCCGTAGATTTATACGTAAACCCGGAGAGGTGGCAACCCTAATTATACTCCTGTTACAGTTTTCCTGAAAAGGTTCTCGAGGTTAGTACTCGTGGTCAAGGATGAATCCAGGGGTGACGGCGCAATGGGCAAGTGCCTCTTACAGTCACAAAAAAATTATAATATAATAATTTTTTTGTTAATTATTAAAAGTCAGGATCGTAAAAATGTTTTTAATTTAAGTTCCCCCTCCTTACAGCTATTCTTGATCCAACATTGCTCTTGGTTAGGTTATTATTAAATTTCAAGAAGACTAGGTAATATTTTATAATTTCTAGGTAGGTTAATACAAAAATAAAACAATTCATAAGAATAATCTGCCCAATATTTCTTCACACTAATAATCATTGACGACAAACACAAAATATGCCATGGATGGAATTATATAGTAGCATATTGTCTAAAAATTGTCCCTTGGTGAAGACACAATGTCATGAACAGGTTAATTAAAAATAAATTAGATTTTTATATTGATTTGATAATCATTTAATATGATAATTTTGTTATTAATTGCAAATGTTCATGTTTTTTAAAACTTTTTTTTTGATTATAATCTTATAATTCAATGGCCATTAGTTACAATTTACATTTTTTTGTTTAATTAAATTTAAGACTTTTGTAGTGGTGTCTGCTTCGGATTTGAGTGCTGCGTCTAAGATGTTTGGAATGTTGAGGCTGCTGATTTCGTCGATGTATTGCTAGCATTCGGTGATTATGTGATGGACTGAGAGTTTTGCGCCACAATAATTGCACGTTAGTTTTAAATGTAAATTGTTTAAATTTGAAGTTATAACTATGTATTATATTTGTGTTAGTATGGTCGGTACCAAGTATATTTGGCATAAAGTGCCTATTTGGGCAAAAAACACAAAGAGACAAACCTCAAAAATGTTTTCAACAATTATTTTAAATTAATATTTAGTATCAGCTTGGTTATATTTATCTATTAGAGATGAAAAATAAAAACCTGCAAGACCCTCTACCGAATATGTCATAGATAAAAAACGTAGATATTAAGAAGATGTCAGCATATTTTTGTTTAGTCTCTGTGAACCAGCATCAAACATTTGAGTTTGGTAGATCTAGTTTTGTGTTATTACTTTTAATAATATAGAGTGAATTGAATTATTATATAACTTAATATTACAAATATCATTAATAGGATTTTATTAATAATCCGATTTTAAAGTGAGTTCACACATCACACTTGAGTGAACTTTGTCGTATCGTTTCCAAACTAGTATCATATTTTTGCAAAGAATTGCAACAATTCGCAACATTGAAAAAAAAATATTTGCAACACATTTTTTACACAAGTAGAAATACAATTCGCTCGAGGTGCCAAGTTCATCTAGCACCCCTCGACTATGTCTTATCGTTTCCAATTTGGAGACTCCAAACTATTGTACCATCTCTTTGGAAATTAAATTTAAATTTGTAAACAACAAATAAAAAAACTGCAGCACATTTATACTATTTTTTATATTATAGAAACCTATACGAATTTGCAATAAACGTCTGAACAATGTTTTTTAAAAACGTTAAGTTTAAGTTTTTATGATTTTTCATACCTATTATTTAAACCTTAAATAACGATTTTAGTTTTTTTTAAATTCAAAATTTGTTTTCTTAAGGTTTTTTTAAAATTTTTCTTCAGTAGGAATTATAGTTATTTAATATACACCCACACAATGAACAACTCACTAAATAATATATTACAATTTAAAAATGCTCATTATTAAATGTTTTTTACTTTAAAATATCAATAAAAACCTAAGAGATACTCAACAAGGCCAATAATTCATAAAGAAGATAGGTAATATATTCTTACCATTTTGATAATTGATCGATTTACGAGTATAATATTAAAGCTTATTACACAACATCGATTTACTTGAATGCAAATTAAATACCTACCTATATTGAGGTCTCCACGCACAGCAGCGGGAGCGGTAAAATGAGTCCGGACCCAATTTACCTCCACGCGGCGGTACCACCAAGACAAAAGAATTTTACCGCTACCCCTGCTGTGTGAGTCTGAAACACAAAATAAGTATTGCGCTGACATCCTACTTTAATATTATTATAGCATCGATTAATAACAATAAGAAAGTAATTAACCAAAAAATAATAATATAATATTGAATAAAATAGAATAATAATATTAGTTGATTATTGAATTCGTATAATTTACTATCATCGATAATTCTATCGCGGGTATTCTGCGGCGTTACGGTAGATGGCTTAGTACTTACTCGTATAATGACAAATTGATGATATCATCACATAACGCATTAGTTCATTATAATATTTTATCTTACACTTTTTATAAGGTTATATTATTGTATGGTGATTTATTATACAGGAAAATAGTATTTGACTTAACGATTTAGACTTTGTATATTATTATTATAAGCAATTATTATATTCTTACACCAATAATTACCCGTTGATGGTTTAATTATTTTTTAAATATTGAACATTTTGAGTTTTGATTTCCTATTAAATAATCTCATAACATTGATTATAACTTGTATGTACTGGCCATGACGCATAGGTAGGTACTATATTAAATAGGTATACGCTAAGAAAAATGTCGGTAGAATTCATAATCTATATTGTAAAGAACAGCTGACCACAATATATATATTGAATTATACATGACATAATGTTTTATTATAATTGCCTGATTTTATTCTAGTAGTGACTATAATAAAAATAAGAAATTTATCGACTAATATTATGATAGATAATAAAAAGATTATAGATTATAATAGATTATAAATTATAAATATTGTATTAATTTAAATATTAATACATTATTATAGATAATCATTTGGTTGATTATTGAATTGACGACCATCGATCATTCCATCACGGGTATACTGTGTTATACTTACTTACAGGTTACTGCGG